GTCCAGGTAGAAACAGAGGAAGAATAAAAATTTCGCAGAAATACAAAAGATCCGTAATTTTCAATCTTCAGTCTTACCGATACTTTCGACAAAAATAATTTTCGAAATGTTGACACTGAAAATCCCAGACAATCAGGCATTCAACGATAAAGAGAGAGAAAAGATCCAAAAGAAAGAAGTGATTAGAGATCTGTGTTGAGATCTTAGGATCCATTGTGCGAGAGCGGCGTGTAATCCGCGTTAGACCTGGAAACTGCTCTGGCAGCCAATGATGCTGCCAGAAAGAAAGAAGGACGACGAGCCAGAGCCAGGAATGACAAAAAAAAGAGAGAGAGAGAGAGAGAGAGAGAAGAAGGAACAAAGAAAGAAAGAAAGAAAGAAAGAGGGACAAGGTATCAGAAAAAGAGAGATAACTAGAGAATGAGGTACGCTGGAAAACGAGGGGGTGGCTGGGAGAAGCCGACGAGTGTTGAGACTGTATTGATTTCCATTCCGGCCTGTCTGGCTCTAGTCTAGCCCATATCCGGTGTTCTTCGTTCTCTCGCGCCGCGACGCACGTGCACACGCACCTTTCAATTTTCTCGCGACAATCTGGTCCAGAATCGTTGCTATGATGCTCGACGAACGTGTACTTTCTATGGTGGTTTTATCGATGGATATCGATGGATCGTTGTGACCCACTGGTTTTATTAGGCTGTTGGCTGGTTAGATCCGGGATAATTTTGAAAAAAAAAAAAGAAAAAAAGAAACAGTTAAACATTCGACGCTCTCTGAATAAAATATTAAAGACGGATGTTTGAGATGACAAGTTTGGACACGAAGATAAAATATCACGTGGAAAAATCACGACGCCGGGTGATGAATCATTGTTCCGCAAGCGAGTTATGCAAATATGAAGAAAGGGAAGAAGCGTAGCAGGATGAAGCAATTCAAAGGTTTCCGTTGTTAAAACGAGATAACCAAGACCAAACATGGACTTGCCGGCGATTTCAGATGGAGACCGATTCACGATCCTTTTACGGCCCGGTTACTTTCCTGCGTCTCTTCTCTCGTGTGCCCGTCTCGTCCACGTATAAATTCTCAAAGAAAAAAAAGAACCCCCTAGACTAAAATAATCTAAACCCCTGTTCAGCCAAAACAAATTTAACACACACCTGAACTTAATCCAACTATTAATGCAAGTTCTTCGAAAAACGTGGATCGTATTTAATCAGAATCACTTTCAATGATCTACGTGTTCTGAAAAAAGTTCTCGTAATTAAACCTAACCAGAACCCAAACCAAGTCACTTCCCTATAAAGCACAGTAATTCAATCTCGCCTCAAATCTAATCCACATTCACGTCCCCGAACGACGTGTCCAACCCTTCGGCGCACGAGAAATGCACCTTGTCCTCGCACGAGCGGAAAGATCGAGAGGCCGAGGTCACGGGGTTCTCTGCAAGAATTCGTGAGGAGAAGAGGGGGTTGGCAATGAAGGGTGGGACGACTGGCATGCGGTCGGGAGGCACGGTGAACCAGATATTCGAATGGCATCGACGAATCTCTCTCTCTCTCTCTCTCTCTCTGTCTCGGATACACGTGCAGTGCAGAAAGGGCAGGGGTAGCAGCGGGGCGTCGAAGAGAGGAAAGGGATTGTCCGGGGAGGCAACTGGGTATACGAGGTAGTGGGTATAGAGCGGAGATATCCAGGTCACAAAACAAGTGTCGCAACCGGCCATGCTGGCACGCTCCTGCGAGTGTACAACACTTTGCGTCGCGACGCGCCGGATTTCGACTCCTGCTGGCTGGCCGCGTGGAACCTGACGGGCGTGCCTGTGAACCGTACTATCGATTGCTCGCGTGCCTCCAAACCTAACCCATACCGTGTACACCGTCCTCGGCTATGTCTCGCTACCACGAGGAGTGCGTGGAATCTTGTACGGGTCAATCAGGGTCATTCGGATGACTCTCCTTGATCTCGCGCTTGAGATCTCGATTCTGGACTAGGTTCGAACTGGAAGGTGTAAAGTCCATTTAACCCATCGAGGGCCAAGCGGTTTTACGAATTACGATAATTCCACTGCAACAAAGTAAGCTTCGATATATCACACTGCCATTTTGTCGAACCGACGAGAATAACGGGTTAGTTTAATTATATTTGAAATGTATAGACTCTGTGGTCGAATCGAAAGATTCAAATTTAAAGTTAGATTGGTTCAACCTTGAAATTTTTAGGGTAATTCTTCAGGTAAGTCTCGAGTATCAAGAAATTACAATCTGTATTTAGAGCCTGTACGTCTGTATTTAGAGTAATTGTTGCGAAGCACAGCCTGTTCTTACTAAATCAATGCCACAATCTGTGCCACGTGACTAAGTATCATAAGGCAAGGGTTAATCTCAAGTTCGCGTGTATTGTAGAAAATTAAAAAGAACGAACTACGACATACGGCAGAAAGAAAGAGTTCCCGTTTCTTCAGTTCGTTTGGCAAAAATTGGCAAGAGGCTACTTGATCGAGCGAATTGTAGTTTTGATGCAACAAATTAATAATTTACTCTGATATATTTACACGCGCACTGGAAAGAATTATTATTGTCGTAATGAATTTTACGTCTCGTTGAAATATAATGAAATATAATGTCTGTCTCGACAGCGTAGCGTACAATTGACCGAGGAGTTGGCGCGAAATCACGAACGGTCTTCGTGGAACGTAGAAGAGGTAATCGAAGCACGTGTGAGCGAACGGTGTCGAGAATTTCAACGAACCCCCGATAACTGTAAACCAAACACTTTTTTTTCTTCCTCCTCTATTGTTTCTCTGCCGTCGATTCTTGTCGCGGTCTTCGATCGCGAACGAAACCAACCTCAAACCGTATCACCCAACACTAGCAAAATACTGAATAATAAAATGCCAAATATGTAGAACAATGAAAAAACAACAAAACCCAACTTTGAAATAAGACACTCTAAAATTTCAAAAATTAATTGAACCTCAACAGTTACGTGTAACACACGTGATCTAACCATGATTGTAAGTATATTACCAAATTAACCTTGAACCATATCTGCCAATAACCAAAAATAACTAAACACGTGCGTTAACCAACACGAATGACAAAACGCAAAGTATAAATTAAAACGGAGTGCCCTAAAATTCCAAGAGCTCTGCGCATAATATACGACCCAGCCATGACTGCCGTTAACAAAACTAGCCTGAAACCTGCCAATGGCGAAATAGTGAAACGACTGTTAACTAAGTACAATAAATCAAATTCCGCTGCGCTCGTCGGCATCGTTGAAAATAGTCACGTGTGCGGTGAAGAAACGCGTGGGAGGGAAGCGGAGAGAAGTTTAAACCGACCGCATAGCGAAGCTACGAAGGCAGTAGGCAGCACCGACTAGGCTGTCGAGAGAGAGCTTCTTAGAAAGCTGTTAAAATGCGAATAGCGTGGCCGTGAACGATACTCGGGAAGACGAGCAGGCACGGGAAATTTGTCACGTAAACCCCGGACAATGACTCTCCTGCTACCAGTGAGCCAAACGATTCGCCAAGATACCCGTTAGTTGCTTCACCATGAAAAACCATTGAATCACCTACCGCAGCGCCTGTGCATGCTCAGTGCACTAAAAAAAATGCTTAAATCGCTACGAAAAATTTCGCGTTTCTGTATAATCTTTGATTGGTTAATTGGCTTTTGCAGAAGTTGGGAGTTTCGAGAAGTTTCAAGATCTCTGTTCTTCTTGCGCGTGTACACCTCTGCTCGAAAGTGTTAGGTCGGGATATTATATTCATTATACTTCGATACTGATATGAAAGTTTTACGTATCACGAAACGTGCAATTTAATATTTAAGAAATTTTTAATTGCGAAATTTTATTTAAAAATGCTATCATTTTTACAAACAAAACACTGAATATCGAAAAGACATTCGAACTAGCTGGTCAACTGTTGATAATATTTCCGTGTTTCAACCTTTCCAAGAACACAAAATCTAGATTAACTTCATAAGCCTTCGAGCTAATTCAAATCGACGTCAATCATCAGCGCGAGAACGAGGTCAGCAGGATCTCGTACGTGAATTTCATGTTACAGGAGGAAGGGGAGAGGGGGCTGTCGAATAATAGTTACTTGGCGAACTCGTGCGAGTGAAAGTGACTGGCCTGGGTAGATTCGACTACGAATGTCGAGTAACGATCGCAAAAAAAAAAAAAGAGAGAGAGAGAAAGAAAGAAAGAAAGAATGCCATAGGATAATTTGCGGCAAACGAAGCAAAGGAAGATCAAGGAAGATCCGAGCCAATAGATAAAGAAACTGCGAGAAGGTATCAGGCCTTTCACTCGCGAGCGTGCGACTCCTCTTTGGCGCGGATCGCCGGCTTTTCGTTCGCTAGTGGCCGCTAATTATCGCGCGAGAACGAAGATTCTCGCTGCCAGATAGCAACTCCTCGGTAAAAGTTCCGCCGCTTTCCGGACCATGGATATCGAACGTTCGTTAACGAAACCCGCCTCTCGAGGGCCTGTGTTTTCGCGAAAGCGGCGCCGCCGATGCGTTATCTGATGCGTCAGGGATGAGATCGAGTCCACTACATCCGTCTGACGTTTAAGAAACGCGTATAGGAAAACAGGAACATGCTATACTTTGTCTCTCTAGTAAATCCCGCTTTAAAATGCACGGACCCCGTCTCTGGTATCTAGTGTCGCGTGAGAACGATTTTCGCAATACGAAATGTCGATCGATCGTGATACTCGTGTCTTTTTTTTTCTCTCTCTCTCGTGATTGAAACGTGTTTCTTGATGAAAACGAGGAAGCTGATTCGTCTCGGTTGTTTGAGATTTGCCAAGGATGTGTTCTTTGTTATCTAGTGAGTTTCGCGGGTGTCCGATATGGTCGAGTTGGATTTGTCTCGCTTCGCGTAATTAAGTACTGTGAGAGTGTTCAGACCAAATCCTAACCTCAACTTCTACGACTGACTATAGATGAGCTGTACTTACACCTAGTTCGAGAAGAACATCGAACTCACCTTGATCGTATATGTAGAACAGGCTCCCGCAGTCGCCGAGTAGATTAACCCGCAGAAAAATGTAGAAGTAAATCGTAGCACGTTCTAGAATTATTTAAGCGTTCACACTCTGTTGTACGATCCTCTTCTCTCTTCCTCTTCCCTTCCTCTCTTTCTCTTACCAACTATCGCTTATTAGTATCGTAGTAATGATTATTCTTATTAATATTATCGTTATTGTTATTACTATTATTATTATTCTCTTTGCCTTTAGCTGTTACTTGTCGCCTTTCACCAGGCTCCTCTTTCTTTGTTATTTTATTACTATCGGTGTCTCTTGTCTGTTTATGTATGTATGTATGTATCATATATTCATTTCTATTTATATAATATATAGATTCATATATCATATAAATTATTCTTATAAATATATCTGTGTCTGCAGGTACTTCGCTGTCCTGGTTCGTATTAATCGATTAAAGGGCGAAAGGGAGGAGTGGGGGGGGGCGGGGGGTGAGGCTCGAAAGGGGAGAGGTACGGTTATCAATGTGAATTCCTGATAAGATCTATCAACGCACCACCACGATCCTTCTTCTTTAGATCCTGTCCAATCTTCGATCAACAGTCTCGATCTTGATTCCAGCGGACCGATCTCCTCTCTCTCTCTTGCATACGTTCGCGTCCGTATACATACAGATACCGTCACTGGGTTTGCGTTTGTTTATGTTTGTTTACGTATGCTTACGTATTGTTTGCGACTTGCAAGTTGAACGAAACAGATGGGCGACGATTAAAACGTTAAAACTTCTTTCTCTCGTCTCTCATTAGATCTTTCTTTCTGTATAGATTTATTTATAACGTTGCTATTAATTATTAATATTATTAATAATATTATTATTATTGTTACTATTATTATTATTATTATTATTAATATTATTATTTGTAGTCGCGTTCTTCGGAGGGGCCTAGGCACTATTACGCTGCGAAAAAGAGGTTAAGTTTGAAGGTACTTGTACGCACGAGGTATATGTTCTCAAGGTAGAAGTTATTTTTTTTTTTTTTTTGTTCTTTCTTTTTTAAATGTATAGGAGCGATATCACGCTGCAAAAGGAGAATGTATTGTGTGTGTGCTCAACCTGGCCACGAGAAAGGGATTTATCTTCTTTTCCTTCCCTTCTATCTCTCTCTCTCTCTCTCTCTCTCTTTCTCTCTCCTCTTAATGTTTCCTTCTCCTCCCCTTTAGGGCCCTTTCTCTATCTCTGAGTTTCTTTGTCTCTCTCTCTCTTTCTCTGTCTCCGCCCTTTCGTCTTTTTCTCCGTCTCACGATTTCTCTCTCGTGATAGTTTTCGTAGTCGGTTTCCTCCACTTCTCCTTCCTCCGTTTCTTTCTTCCCGTTTTTCTTCCGAATAGTGAGCTTGACGATCGACGGCGGCGTCCTCTACGCCGCGGTGCGCGCTCTCACGGAAGGTCAGAAGTCGTTATCACCTCCTCGAGCTTTCCCACTTGCTAGCCACATCGCCCTGGGCCCCGCTGCCGCCCTCCTCCCACGGGTGCTCAACCACCACCACCATCTGCCAACAGAAAAAATATAATCGTTTTAGAAATACTGTGTCGGTTTTGTGTGAATTGATACGTAAATGATACGTCAGGAATGCAAAACTACATTATGTGAATATACACACACACACACATATATATATATAGGTCAAGTTTCTCGTTATTATTGAATTATTGAATATTTTCTGCAGATTATACAAATAATTTCTAGAAAAATTAACTATATTGTTTCTTATTTGTTGCTGTTCGACTAATACCATTATCTGGAACCAGAAAAGTTTATATGAAAGTTGAAACTGCGGTTAAGTTGCGAATATCTATGTTTTTTAAATGTTGGAGTTGTTATCGTGGTAGAATGGATAAAAAGGAAACAAATTTTTGACGCTGGGTCGAGAAATTTCGCGAACAGATGGTTTATTCGCTTAACTCAGACGCTATTATTAACCTTTACTATTGTTTTAACCCCTGTTTGCTCAACCCCTTTGCAAAGTTATTATTACCTAATCATTGTAATGTCTGATAGTCGTCAACAAGAATTTAATTTCGGAATTAAATGCATTAGATCCAAGAATCCTGAAGCAGAAACCATCTATTAACCTCTTCACGATTACTGTAATATTGTCTAGTAACATCTAGTTACTATAATATCATTGATAATATATAAAGAAAGAATTAATTTTTTTAAGGTTAGAGGTTCCCGTTATATATCCGAAAATTTTGAAGAAACAATACTAACCATCCTTTCAAGATTTTTATAATATTACAAGATTTATAACTAGTACCTAAAAAGAACAATCTAAAAAAAAAAAAATTAAAGACCTAGAAATTTTTAATGAGTAAAATAAAATCGTAATTGGAACCTGTCAAAATCTAGGGAATTTTCAATGAGAGGATGGTAATATCTTCCAAATGGAATGGCGCGTGTTTAGCAGAGGATCGCGAGGCACGTTGCTCTTAATGCACGTGCATTTCTCTTAGGAGCCGGAAAATTAATTCCCATGAAATACGCATGCAAAGTGGAACGTACTGGCACCGTCTGAGATCCTGGAACGATCCTGGCAAACCCGTCACGAAGCTGATGAATTTAATATGTCCACCATTGCTCGTTCCGATAATGAAACATTTCTCTCGTTCCTAAATTACGAAAACTATCCTGTCAACTAAAAAATGAATCTGAAGTGTTTTAATCCGTACTTTAGTAACATTTACTTCTAAATTTAATTACTTTGGTATTTCAGTTCGTTAGCAATTTACTAATTTAGTAATTTAGTTCTTCGTTACTTTGTCATGTTTGTTCTTTCAGTTTTTCTCCTCTTGCTGGCAACTCTACATAAAAACAATTTTCCTCGAATCACGTAAAGAGGTGCCTGATGGAACAGGATCTTTGTAATAATAATACCAATACAGTAATCGCGTAGCCCCTTCTCGAGAGCAGCATTAGAACCGACCGTTCAGCCAGCCCATAAATAGAAGGGTAAATACCCTATAAATCATCGGTGTGGCCTCGATCGAGCGGGCAAAAGAAAAACGGGGGCTCCGTTTTCGTGCTCGACGGCCCTGAACGCGTCAGAGGAAAACATAGAGACGGCCTGCAACCGAGGGTTTCACGGTATTTTTAATTTCACCCTCTCTGATCGTCGGTCGAGGTGCTCGTGCACACACACACACACACACACACACACACACACACACACACGTACACACACGCGTGCAGCGTTGTGCATGTGCGTGGCCACTTCACGTGAAGATAGGAACAAAGAACGAGCTCACGCATCAAGTCTGGTTCGCAACGCGACGGCCCTGATGGTGGTGTTACGCATGCGAACACACTGTGCCACAGACAATACAGCTCCCTGGACCTACGTCAATGTGAAATTAAACTGGCACAGTGGCGACCCTGTCTCTTCAATCTCTCTGGGGAACTTGGCGATTCGGATACTCCTCTTTAAATCATGACTATATAAGCTATTTGGGATTACTGTGATTGTAGCCACCGAGGGGAGCAGATTGACGGTTTATTGCAATACGTTGCGCGCGGCGTGATGGAAGTATTTAGTGGAACTATATTTGGATCGTTTTGAACATCGTCAGAGATCAATTTGGAGTATTTAAATTGTGGCTGCCTGAACCATTTTGTTCATTAATACGTTCTAATGCCGCTCTTGAAGTTTCCTTCGTTGATAAAACATTCGTTCGTTGCTGAAAAAGAGATCTCGTTTTGAAGAAGACAATGACGAATACAATTAATGGTATCTCTTCTCCCTCTTTCCTCTTTTTCTTTTTTTTTTTTTTTCCTTTCAAACTGAGATCCTAGATCCCTATCCATTCGAATCTTTAATAAACGGCCAGTAATTTAACCGGGCCATTGTGTGTGAATTACCATCGTCGATATTCGGCTGTCTCCTCTCTATAGGGACATTCGTTGTCGCCGGCTTTTGTAGTCGCCATCTCCGCGACGATCTTTCGCAATAATTTTAAAAGGCCGCTTATCCGGCTTCAACCCTCCAGCCCGTAGATTCGCCGAGAGATGCGATCTAAAAGGCACGAGAACGCGGAGCAACTACTTCCGAGGGGCTCTGAGCATCGCTGCCGGAGATTACGAATTTCTCGCGAAACAGTAAACATTCCTGAAACTTTTCCCTCCCAGCAGCTATCCGAGAAGCACATCTCGGATCTCACGGCCCTTCAAAAATTTAAGAATGACGCCGTTCTCGTAAGAATACCTCTCGTCAATATTCTTCCAAGATGGGGTCCAATATTCTTCCAAGATTTCCAAATCTTTGTATACTGTGAAACATCTAGTAGAGAGAAAACCGAAGTTCCTCAATTGTTGCGAAATTTCTTTTTACATGCGTAACTATGTAAGGAAATTATGTTATATCACGCTCGAATGCTATCTGAATTCGTATGAAATCACCAGAGACGAAAAGTCAGAGTTTTTCTCTACTGAAAAGAATTCTGCGAACCTACTTAACTCCACGACACCGTGGCAAGGCGTTGAATTAAGACGCGTCCTCAACGATCCCGTTTGCCACGGTACTCGACGCGATTGCATCGCGCCACGAGGCGAGCGCACACAGTGGACAACGTATGCAAATGAAAACGAAAATGGAAGGCGTCTACGCACTTCCGGACAGATGTTAAGGCTCACGCACATTGTTCGCCCGGTTCTCGCCCCCTTCCTATTACTGTCCTTCCTGCTTTCTTGCCCTCCCTACTCGCTGATCTCTTTCCCCCCCATTGTCCTTCGACCGCTAGCCACGCCAAGGAGAATAGCAATTGCCTCAATAAATGTTACTTGCCCCTGAGTCCGTCGCACTTGCGTCAATGGCAAGCAATTTTCTTGCATGGGAAGAACGTACCGACGAATTTCTTCAAATTCTCATAACCGATTGAATTTTCAACGACGATAGATCATTAGACAGACCGACGTTTGTGAGAACGGTTGTGTTGGTAACAGCCTAACGATCATGGTGAAATTTCATAGATAGGCAAAATCCACGAAGAGCTAACACAAATCTGTGTGCAACTCGTTCGTGAAAATTCGAGAATCTAATTACGTTACGAGCCATTTAGATAGAAGGGGCCCAGTAAACGAATGCGAGGCGCCATTTGGTCAACGAAACGTCTAGAATCCGCTGGGAATTCGCAACAGAGAAACGCAACACCTCTATTTTGCAACAGTTTCACTCACCGACGAAACAGACCCCACCGTCTACTGTTGTGATACCCAAGCTGCGAGTTGTGATACACGGGCCAGCCGACGCGTGAAAAAGAGGAAAAAAAAAAAAAAGACAATGAACACAGCCACAACAGGGCATGCATTCACGCACACGATAGTCACAGGACACGCCAACGGCGTGGTATGAGTGAAACTGTGCGCCTGAACCAGACAAGGTCATTCATAAGTAGCTCAAGTTCAACTAATAGTATTGTATTACGATACCTACGGCCCTCTTCCTTCTTCCTTCTCTCTCGTTCGGGCCCCCTTTGACGTATAATCTCTCTTTCTCTCTCTCTCTCTCTCTCTCTCTCTCTCTCTCTCTCTCTCTCTCGTTCGCTTGGTTCACATGAACGAACAATGCCTGATGATTACCGGTTAATTAATTCGTTTTACGGTCCTTCGGTGGTTCCTTCATTCCCCCCCCCCCCCCGTTGGTGGAAGTTCTTCGTGGGCTTTCATTGAATTCCAGATTCTTGGGTTTTGTGAGGGGCATCTGACTCGAACATCATCCTGTCTTAGATCGTTCTTCCGAAACTAATTTCGTCGCGTAAAGTCGACGTACGCGAAACTCTAATAGCAGGTAGTTTCTTTACAATGTCTACATCATATTGATATTCATTAAAGAAAAGGAAAAGAAGACGAGCGGAAAAACGAATGAGATCAAAATGAATGAAAACACAGATGCACGATATCAATATACAGACTCAGGTCACATTTTTTTCTTTTTTTTTTTCAATAGAAAAATCACCAAAATAGTAATATCAAGGGAGAACAAAAACACTAATCATGGTGACAATGTGGAAATAGTGGTACCAGTCGTACCAATCTCCCATTGGAGAACCTGAATGACGAAGCACGACATTGGTGCACGATACTGGATATAGCGTTCTTTCTAAGCTTTTCAGAACACCTTCGAACGTCGTATGCAACAAGACTGCGATAATATCCGGCGGCCAAGTAAAACGAAATCGATTGGCTCGATGACGATGTCAGAAACGGCTGTCTGTTCGCGCGGAAACCTTGGCAAAACCGTGAAGCTTATGTAACATCATGGTTCAGACGGAAAGGGGCAGAGGTCTGTCAAGTTTGAGAATCATTGACACGCCGTGGGAATAGAGAAGAAACAGAGTCTGACAGGGCAGTCTCCCTTCCTTGGTTGACAGGTGGCAAAAATATCTAGGGAATTTCTCTCCCGAAGGATCTTGAATTAACCAAGAAACCACTCCGCTTCGTGGAACCATTTAGTACCAGCAGGATACTGTGAATCTGTATCTCACTACGTTTGAAATT